CTCTGTCAGATAAATAAATAAAATCTTAAAAAAAAAAAAAACGCAAGCATCAGACAGAGACGTGGGCTTCCGGGGGAGGGAGCGGCCCTTTTGATGCTCCTACTTCAAGGCAGGCGAAAGGTGCTGTTGGTGGGGTGTCGTAGGGCAAAGTCTCACCCACCAGCCCTCCTTCCTGCAGTGTGACAAGGGCCAGGTCACTCTGTTGGGGGGGCCGGCCCAGGCACAGTGGGGGCTGAGCAGCACCCCGGGCCCCACCCATCCATGCCAGGAGCACACCCAGTGTCCCCTGGGGGCAGGAGCCCATTTTACAGATGGAGGGGACGTGCCTCCAAGAGGCGCAGCACGCTGGCCTTGCCAGCCCAGGAGGGGTGCAGAGGGCGCCAGGCCGGGCACGGGAGGCTCTTTGTAGCTGGTGAGGTCAGGGGTGCTCGGAGGACAAGGCAGAGCGTGAGGCTGCTGGGCAGGCCTGAGCCCAGTCTGACCCATCCCCCGGTGAGGGTCCTGCACGTGGCCGAGAGGGCATCCCCACTTCCTCAGGGCCGTCCTGGGACTTGCCGTGGACCCGGGCTTCTCCACTGACCGTCTCCTGCCCCCAGGCGCTCTTCGTGCTCTTCGTCCTGGCCTACATCCACATCGCCTTCTCACGCTCGCCCATCAACTGCCTGGAGCATGTGCGGGACAAGTGGCCACGGGAGGGCATCCTGCGTGTGGAGATCCAGCACAACTCGAGCCGCGCGCCCGTCTTCCTGCAGTTCTGTGACGGCGGCCGCCGCGGCAGCTTCCCTGGCCTGGCCATGGAGCCGGGCAGCCCAGAGCCGGAGGAGGAAGAGGAGGAGAAGCTGACCGTGGACATGTTCGGGAATGCGTCCATCAGGGTGAGCGGGCCAGGCGTGCTGTGCGTGGGGGTGTCTGGTGAGCCAGTGCTTCATCTGGTCGCGGGCCGCTGGCTCCCCCCGGCCTGCTCCTGCTGGTGTGGCCTTGGGGGGCGGGGACCGCGCTGGACGACTCGGGGCCTCGGGCCATTTCCCAGCCCTAGTGGAAAGGGACTGACCCATTTCTGGGGGCACCAAGGGCAGAGACCGCTGAGAAGGAGGCCCCTGGTGGCATTGGGCCGAGAGCTCGAAGCTGGTGCTAGCTGTCCTAGATGGAACCGCTGCCTGTGGGGTGGGGAATGCCCTGTCACCGGAGACGTGCAGGTGGACGCCGGCACTGGCAGGGGTCAGGTGGATGTGGGGGGCCCACAGCTGGAAGGGAAGGACCTGCGGAAGTAGTTAGAGCCTGGGCTCCTGTGGTTGGTGCAGACCTGGCCAGGCAGTCCCAGCTTCAGGGTGCAGACCCTTCCCTAGAGATGGTCACTTAGGGGAGTGTGGTGTTGGGGTGGGGGTCTTTGGGAGGTTACAGGCCAGAGGCCTTCCAGCCCCGGAGGTGGGGGGCATCCCAGCGGGGGCTGGGGGTCACAGCAGCCAGGGCTGGGGTGCCTGTCCTTGCAGTCAGCAGAGGAGATGGGCCTTTGGGCCGGGCCGCTGATGCCCTTCCTCTTGGCACTCCGCAGTTCGAGCTGGACATTGAGCCCAAGGTGCTGAAGCCACCGGGGGGTGCTGAGGCCCCGAATGACAGCCAGGAGCTCCCCTTCCCAGAGACACCCACGAAAGGTACGCCCCGTGGGCCCTTGGCCAGCTCAGTCAGGGGAGCAGGCGACTCTTGATCTCGGGGTTGTGAATTCGAGACCTGTGTTGGGTGTGGAGATTTGTTTTCTTTCTCTCTCCTTTTCTTCCTTTCTAGATTTTTATTTCTTTATTTACTTATTTGAGAGAGTGAGAATGAGCACGCGCACAAGTAGGAGGAGAAGCAGAGGGAGAAAGACAAGCAGATTCCCCGCTGAGCGTGGGGCTCGGGCCCCGGACCCCGAGATTATGACCCGGGTCGGAGGCAGACACTTAGCCGATTAAGCCGCCAGGCGCCCTGGGCAGAGAGATTTCTTAGAAAATAAAACCTCCTCCCTTCTCTGGGAGCCTCCTCTGTGAGAGGCGGGCGGCAGGCAGGGGTCCTGGGTGGCGTGGGTGGTGCCTGCTGGGAGGGGTCACCCAGCCCTCTCAGGGAAGAGGCCTAGACCAGGGCTCCAGGGCTCACGGGGCTCATCCCCGCAGTGTGGCCGCAGGACGAGTATGTCGTGGAGTACTCACTGGAGTATGGCTTCCTACGGCTGTCACAGGCCACGCGACAGCGGCTCAGCATCCCTGTCATGGTGGTCACCCTGGGTAAGTGGCCCCAGAGCGAGGAGCGAGGCAGTGGGCTGTTGGGGCTCTCAGGGCTCCCGGGAGGGCGCCTGGGGGCGGCCCAGAAGCACTTGGGTCCAAGGTCCTGGGGCCGTGTCCACTCTCCAGCCGCGAGACGCTTCCTCCCTCCGTGGCGTCCTGGGGCATCGGGGTCACAGCATTGCTCGGGTGGGAGCCCTGGCCAGACACTCCCATCGTCTGCCTGCCTGCAGACCCCTCGCGAGACCAGTGTTTTGGGGACCGCTTCAGCCGCCTGCTCCTGGCCGAGTTCCTGGGCTACGACGACATCCTCATGTCCAGTGTCAAGGGCCTGGCCGAGAACGAGGAGAACAAGGGTTCGGCGGCCCCGGCACCAGGAGGGGGCGGGGTGTGGGGCAGTGGCTGGGCAGGCGCTCACGGCCTCCCCCTCCCTCTGAGCAGGCTTCCTTCGCAACGTGGTGTCCGGAGAGCACTACCGTTTTGTGAGCATGTGGATGGCCCGCACGTCCTACCTGGCCGCCTTCGTCATCATGGTCATCTTCGTGAGTGCCGCGGGGGCGGGCTGGCGGGGCGGGGCGGGCACCGGGGCGGCCCCTCCCTGAGGCATCCCCCCGGCCCTCGTTTGCAGACCCTCAGCGTTTCCATGCTGCTCAGATACTCCCACCACCAGATTTTTGTCTTCATTGGTGAGTCTCCCTGCTGGCCGGGCGGGTGGGAGCGGTGGGCCCTGCCCCAGGCCCACAAGGCCCCCTGACCACCCCACCCAGACGCCAGGCACCTCACCTGGTCTGCCCGCCCGCCACTCTCTGCCCACAGTGGACCTGCTGCAGATGCTGGAGATGAACATGGCCATCGCCTTCCCTGCGGCGCCCCTGCTCACTGTCATCCTGGCCCTCGTAGGTGAGGACTTCTCCCTCCCTCCCTCCCTCCTGCCTCCTGCCTCCCCGCCGCCTGGCCCAACCGCCCGGCCTCCCCATAGGGATGGAGGCCATCATGTCTGAGTTCTTCAACGACACCACCACGGCCTTCTACATCATCCTCATCGTCTGGCTGGCCGACCAGTACGATGCCATTTGCTGCCACACGAACACCAGCAAGAGGCACTGGCTGCGGTGAGCACCCGGGTCCGCGGGGGGCAGGGCGGGGTCCGTGGGTGGCGCCTCACTGTGCTCCCTGCAGGTTCTTCTATCTGTACCACTTCGCCTTCTACGCCTATCACTACCGCTTCAACGGTCAGTACAGCAGCCTGGCCCTGGTCACCTCCTGGCTCTTCATCCAGGTGAGGGTTCCGCCTCGCTCCCCGGAGGGGCGTCCAGCCTGTGCAGGGTTCCGTGGAGGCCGGGTTGCTGGCTCTGGCTGCTGGCCTGACTCAGCACCCCCCCCGCCCCCCCAGCATTCCATGATCTACTTCTTCCACCACTACGAGCTACCCGCCATTCTGCAGCAGATCCGAATCCAGGAGATGCTGTTGCAGACCCCACCACTGGGCCCCGGGGCCCCCACGGCGCTTCCGGATGACCTGAACAACAATGGGGGCGCCCCGGCCGCCACTCCTGACCCTGCGGGTCAGCCCCCCGCCCTGGGCCCCAGCTTGCCGGGCAGTAGTGGGGGCCCTGGGCCCGTGGCTGAGGCACCCAGCTCTTTGGTGGCCGCGGCAGCCTCGGTGGCCGCAGCGGCCAGCAGTGACCTGGGCTGGATGGCAGAGACGGCTGCCATGATCACAGACGCCTCCTTTCTGTCTGGCCTCAGTGCCTCTCTCCTGGAACGGCGGCCCGCTGGTCCGCTGAGCCCTGGTGGGGGGCTCCCCCGGGCCCCCCAGGACAGTGCCCCTTCCATCAACTCCCTGGCGCATGACACAGCGCCCCCAGCTGCCGGGGTGAGTGGGCCCAGCCCCGCACCCACAGCCCCAGTGGATTCACCCCTGGAGGTCGGTTCCTGAGCCTTGGGCAGCTGACCGCCCCATCCCTGGCCATGTAGGCCCACTGGGTATGACCAGGCTGGAGCCCTCAGGTGTCGGGTAGGCTGTCCCGGTGGTTCTTGGGGCTGCCTAGCCTGCCTTGGGTGGTGTCAGGGTCCATCAGGTTTGCCCAGAGTGGGGCTTCTCTTCCCCTGTGTGGGGCCTGCCGGAGGCCTGTCCCTGCTACGTTAGTGGTGGGCCCCCTCAGCCAGTGAATAGAGGCAGCCCGAAGGGGGGGGCCTCCATGGAAGGTCCTGGAAAGGGCTGGTGAACTGTGTGGAGTGAGCTGTCCGTCGGTAGCAGAGCTGGACAGGTCTCTAATAAGGTGAATGCAGGTGTCCCGGCCTGCTCAGCTGGTGCTCCATCATGCTCAGTGCCTTTTCCACGGCCTCTGACCCCAGGTGTGTGTACCAGGGCTGGGGTCCCGGGAGGGCAGAGTTCATGCCTCGGGCTCGGAGATCAGGTGTGCAGGCGCCAACATGGAAGGCAGTGGCCGGGTGTGGGCCAGCCCTGCTGGGGTGGGAGTGGGACGGGGCTGGTGGCCAAACTAAATCACTCGGTGAGGAACGCAGAAGAGTGCTCATTCCATTCTATTTAATTGCAGTGTACAAAATTGTGTTTGTATATAGAATAAACTGTTGACGGCGGCGGGTCAGCGTCTGCGTGCGCAGGCAGGGAGGGCCCTCGGTACCGCCCCCTCCGGGCTTCCGTGCAGGCTGGGGCGGGGGCCCAGGGCCGGAGGAGGCCGCCCTGGGCCGAGGGCGGGCGGGCGGGGTGGGGCCCCCGGAGCGGGGCAGCGGCTGCGTGCCCTCGGCTGGGTCACCGGGCGACGGCAGGTGCTTCGGCGCAGGGGCAGTGCCCCAGCCGGGCCAGGAGCTCTCCTCGCCGCACCAGGGCCTGGGCAGCCGCTCCCGCGCACTCCGGATGCGTCGCTCCAGCTGCTCCAGCTGCTCCAGCTGCTCCAGCTGCTCCAGCTCGGAGGAGGGCAGCACGGCCGGCAGGTGGCCCCGGGACAGAGCCAGACCGGGCGCTCTGGGGGCTCCGCTAGGAACCGCGCGCGGCGCTCCCTCGCCGTGGCCCGGCGCACCCGTGTCCAGGTCGCCGCGCCCGCAGAGGCTGCCCGCGTGTCCTGCTGCGGCTCGAGAGCCCTGGGGACGTGCGGTGGAAGGGGCTGGGTCAGTGTCCTCACACCCACTCTGCCTCTGGGGTCGGGGTCCCGGCGGTGTGGAGCTGCCCGGTCCTGCGCGGGAGGTCTGGTGTCCGAGCCGGGGGCGGGGGGGACCCTTACCTCGGCCCTGGCTCCTCCTGTCCTGGCGGCTCTGGGTTGAGGGCGCGCTGGATTCTCTGCAAGCCCAGACAGAGGCTTCGTCGGGGTCGCGGGAGGCTGCCCGGGCCCACCCGCGTGGCCCCGGCGCCTCACCTGGCTCGTGTGCGGCCAGTACTGCAGCTTGCAGCCCCTGCGGATGCGCGGGAGCGCCAGGCGGTAGAAGCCGTGCTCGCCCAGGGGGCTGAGCAGCACGAAGAGGCCCGAGAAGTGGTAGACGCCCACCTGCAGCGTCTGGGGGTGACACGTGGGCACAAACCCTTCACGGGCAGGGCCAGACCCGTGGGGAGCCCCGGCTGCGGGTGGGACCCAGACTGGCCCAGAGAGGAGCCTGGGGCGGCGGAGCCGGACGGGGAGGCTGGCCTTCCACGTTGGGAGCCAGGTTTCCTGGGGAACGTGAGCTGGGGTTTCCTAGAAGTAGGAGTGCACACATCTGGGCAGGGGGCTGACCACCTCACTTGAGGCCCATGCGGGCTCAGGGCCCTCCACGCCTACCCCCCGCCCCGGCTCCTGGGCCCTCCCCCACCTCCGTAACGGCGAGGACGCGCTTCCCACAAGGCACCATCTTGCACCACTTGTCGTGCAGCAAGTGGATGAAACCGGAGGACTTGTAGCGGCTGATGAACTCGGACAGGTTGGAGGTGAGTGGCGAGTTCTGAGGGAGTCCGATGCCGTAGCCTAGTGGGGGCCAGGGACTGGGTTGGGGCCAGGCTCCCAGAGGAGCCGCCCCGGGGCCGCCGGTCCCAGAGGCCCCTCACCCTCCATGGCGAAAGGCTTGCCCACGGTCAGCAGTTTACAGTCGGCGTCGATGGAGACCTCGTAGTCTAGGAGCGACTTATCCATGATGAAGGCGTTGAGCTTGTGGGGGTCGCTCCTGCGGGGGTCGGGCAGTGGGGTGAGAGGCCCCGTCGGCCCCGCCCACCCCGGCGCCCGCCCCGCCCCCAGGCGATCGGCCCCGCCCACCCCCGCGCCCGCCCCGCCCCCAGGCGCCCGGCCCCTCTCCCCGCCCCTCTCCCCAGCTGGGCCTCACGTGAGCAGGGCGACGCCGCGTGGCGTGGTGGGCGCGCTGTGGCGCCGCGTGTGCGCGTACGTGTCGGGGAAGCGCTTCTTGATGTAGGCCTCGGCGCTGCTCTCCCACACGGTGCCTACGCGGAAGCCTGGGACGGGTGGTGCAGCTGCGGGGGCGGGGGCAGCTCGTTAGCCCGGGCGCTCGGCCCTGGCCTGCCGCTCCCCCGCGCGCCCTGCTCCGTGCACCCCCCTGGGGCCGCCCGGCACCCCCGGGCTCTCACCCAGCTTCTGCCGCAGCCGGCCCGCATGGGGCCGGGTCGCCTGGCGGCCCTTCCGGGCGCTGTGAGCACCCCTGCCCCACCCGCTCGGCGCCAGGAGCTCCCCAGGCGTGCTGTCACCCGACAGGGCCCACTGTCCCCGGGGCAGGATTGCCTGGGTGAGAGCCCCGTTCTAAATGCCCACGAAGACCTGGCCCTGAACCCCAGAGCTCCTCCGCGGCTCCCCTGCGCTATCGCAGGAGTCCCTCCCGAGCAGGCCCTACACCTGGCCTCCTGGGTCTTCCTGCCCCGTCGAGTGGGCCTGTGCGTCCTCTTCTCTCCCGGTGTCTCCCGGAACCCGCCCGCGCTCAGCCCTCCGGGCCAGGCCCCTCCGCCCTGGCCTCCCAGGATGAGCGCGTGGGCACACTGACCCATGCCTCCTGATGTGGCACAGCACTCCCCGAAAGCCAGACCTCGACTGGAGCCTAGAGCGGCGCCGTCTGGAACCTTCTGAGGAGGAGACCCTCTGTGCTTGTGCTCTTCCCAAGCGGCCGTCGAGCGCTTACACTCGATGTCATGTTTAAAGTAGCCACAAGTGGGGAGTGGCTAGCTCATGAGACAGCGCTGGGTTTGGTTTTATTACCAATTTACAAACGATATGGGGCCTGGGGTGTAGCAGAACAGGCTAAGCACCCTCCCAGGACACAGCCAGCCAGATCCAAACAGTGGGGGCTGCTTCTGGACAAAAACCTCTCCAGCAACCAAATCTCCAGGACACAGTAAGTGGGGAGGAAATCCATCTGCAGTGTGTGCGTGTTTAGGGCGCAGATTCAAACAAACCATGGCGGGGGGCGGGGGGCGGTAAGACAACTGGGAAAAGGGGACCCTGATGTGTGTGAAAGCTTCCGAGTGTTTATGGCGAAATGACAAGTAATCCAGCGGCACACCTCTGCTCTGCTCACAGCCCTCCAGGGCTCCAGGGGGAAGTTCTGTCTCAGAAGGAACTGCTTTAGACACCCTGCAGGATGTGCCCCGTGCCACCTCCTCCCACTCCGCTCCTGCCTGGGGCCTTTGCCCCTGCTGTGCCTGCTCTCCCAACATTCCTCCTTGATGTCTACACAGAAGTCCCTTGAATGTCACCCCCCTCCCAGAGGAATTCCTTGCCCCCGTTTGAGAAGATGTCCCTCCCAGTACTCCCTGTGTCCCCACTCGGCCCTGTTTTCTTTCTGACACTGTATGGCCAACTCACACACCATCCGATTGCTTATCTTGATTCTTGACACCTCCCCCTGCGGTATGGAGATCTTCGCCCGTTTTGTCCCAGCTGGGCCCCTGATGCCTGGCACACACCAAGCGCTCAATAAATGTTTTCAGGGGGCGCCTGGGTGGCTCAGTCGTTGGGCGACTGCCTTCGGCTCAGGTCCTGATCCTGGAGTCCCGGGATCGAGTCCCGCATCGGGCTCCCTGCTCGGCGGGTAGTCTGCTTCTCCCTCTGACCCTCGTGATCTCTCTAGCTCATTCTCTCTCTCAAATAAATAAAATCTTAAAAAAAAAAAAAATTTTTTTTAAATAAAATCTTAAATAAAATAAAATGATTAATTTTGTTAATGTAAATTTCCCCTAAATAAAAAAGGAAAAATCCACTTCATGGAATAAAACAGAGGGGAGATGGGCGCCTGGGTGGCTCAGTCGTTGGGCGTCTGCCTTCGGCTCAGGTCATGATCCCGGGGTCCTGGGATCGAGCCCCGCATCGGGCTCCCTGCTCCGCGGGAAGCCTGCTTCTCCCTCTCCCACTCCCCCTGCTTGTGTTCCCTCTCTCGCTGTGTCTCTCTCTGTCAAATAAATAAATAAAATCTTTTTTTTTTTTTTAAAGATTTTATTTATTTATTTGAGAGAGAGAGAATGAGAGACAGAGAGCATGAGAGGGAGGAGGGTCAGAGGGAGAAGCAGACTCCGTGCCGAGCAGGGAGCCCGATGCGGGACTCGATCCCGGGACTCCAGGATCATGACCTGAGCCGAAGGCAGTCGCTTAACCAACTGAGCCACCCAGGCGCCCAATAAGTAAAATCTTTAAAAAATAAATCAATAAATGTTTTCAGGAGCAGGCGGCCGCACACGGCTGCATCTTGGGACGGGAGTTGGGTGAGTGGGGGACCTCCCAGCTTTGACCTCCAGGCCCCACAGCTGCCCACCTTGGGGTCACGGATCCCCGACAGCTCCAGGAAAGTCTTGTCCCCGACCATGACGGCGGCCAGGTTGGCGGTGTAACTGGACAGCACGAGCAGGTAGAAGATGGCCCACAGGTTCATGAGGAGGCGCCCCGTGGGGCACTTGGGCGTCTTGCTGGAGACGGTGCGTCCGAAGAGGATGGCGTAGCAGAGGTTGAGGGCCGAAGAGTAGGAGAACATGGTGGCCCGGTTCCGGCCACGGGGCGTGAGGCCGTAGGGGCTGTGCCACTCGTAGAGCGTGAGGAAGAGCACGGTGAGGTGCAGGGCAGCAAAGACGCCCAGCCACATGGTCCAGTGCAGCGGCCGCGTGAAGGCGCCGATGGGCGAGGCCGTGTCCCAGGCCCGCACCATGATGCCCAGGCTGGTGGAGAAAGGGGCTGCTGAAGTCCACCACCTGGGAGCGGGCCGAGTTGATGCTGAAGCTGGTGACGGCCATGTGGGCCCGGCCGGCCAGCAGGTCACCCACCAGGCCGGTCCAGCGGCCGTCCCGCAGGGCACCATACTTGCCGTTGCCCACGATGTACAGCTCGAAGTCGAAGTGCGTGTCCTCCGCCAGGCGCTCCAGCAGGTCTATGCGCGACCAGGGTGGCCGAGTCATTGGTGCCGGGGGCCAGGCACAGCTGCCCCGTGGGGCACTGTCCGTCCTCATCCGGCTCCCGGGCAAACACGAATGGATGCTCCACCAGCATCACCATGCGCAGCCTGGGCCAGGCTCGGGCTCCCGGGGAGGGCGGGGGCCGTGCGGCCGCACCTCCCGGCTCTGACTCCAGCCGTCCGGCCCGCCAGCTGCCCACGGTGGCCCAGGCCAGGGCACCCCGCGGGTCCTGGCACAAGCTCCACACTCCCAAGTACCGGGAGATGTGCACCTGGGAGGAGCCGGTCACCCACACAGGCCTGGTGCGGCCCCGGAAGGATGTGTTGGCCAGGAACCTGGGGGGCGGGCGGGGAGCGGGGGGAGCGGGGGGCCAGTGCCAGGCGGCCGGGGGTGGGGGTGGGGGGCAGGAGCCCTCCAGCCAAGCTCAGCCTCCGCTGGGCTCGCCCCTGGCACACGGCTGGGCACCACGGTGGATGCCGTGGTGTCCCCCCCACCAGACCCTTGGCCAGCCGGGCACCCACGCCAGGAAGGCAGTGACGAAGCCTCTGGCCCGAAGCCAACAACTTCCGTCTTGAAACGCCCGGGTGAAGCCCCCGGGGCGCTGGGATGCCGTTCGCCCTGCAGGGCTCCCGTGGGGTCCGGCGGGAACTCAGCCCTGCCCGCCTCCCCGGTCTCCTTCCCCTGCCCTTCCTGTCTCTCTCAGAGCACCCTGAGGCCCTCACTCGAGCCCCCTCTCTGGCTCTGCTTCTGCCGGAGAAGAACCCGCTTCCTGGTGAGGGGGCAACGCCTGGTATACAGCAAGTGTCCAATAATGGTGCTTTCACGACTCACAGGCAGAGGCGACCAGATGTGGAGCCCGGGCACCCCCCTCCACACACACCCGGGTCCTCACTCACCGTGCCAAGAAGCGGCCTGAGGACTCCGGCCCAGCTGGCGGCGGGTCGTTGCAGTTGACCGTGGTGAGCAGGAGGGCGCGCTCCGGCTCCGCCCGGGCGGCACTGCCCAGGGCTCGCACCACCAGCTCCACAGCGTCCTGAAGGGCGGCCTCCAGCGGGGGTCGGCCCACCTCACCCAGGGCCAGCAGCCCCAGGGGCAGGCCCTCCGTGGGCAGCGCGTCAGCGGACAGGGGCATGCCCAGCAGCCAGCGGGGCCCGGGGGGCACGGCCTGCAGCACCTGCCGTGCGCGGGCTGGGCCACAGCCCAGGAGTACGGCCCCCGGGGCTGGGGCCGAGCCCCCCGGGGGGGCCCCCAGGGGGGCCAGGTGCGCCCACAGCCCCACGTCGCCCGTGTCTGGCCGACTCAGGTCCAGCACCAGCTTCGGGGCCCTGCCGGCCCGGGCTGTCCAGAGGGCCACCAGGCCAGCAGGGTCCCGCACGCGGCAGAGCACCAGGCTGACGTCCTCCCAGGGTGTGCCCGCATCGCGGCCACCAGTGCGTCAAGCAGCGTCTCCAGGGGGCTGGCCCAGTCCAGCTGCAGGTGGAATGGGTTCTGGCGGGGGGTGGGGGGTCACAGTTAGGGCCGGAGACCTGTGACCCACCATACCCTTCCCACCCCCATCAGCAGGTGTTCAATAAATAGAAGTCACCTTCAAAACTGGACGGCATGCCTGCCTCCTCCAGCCCACCCCTGCTCTAAACCCTCTCTGTCTCCCCACTGCGAGCAGCACAAAGCCCAGCCTCCTTGGCCTGACATTCAGGGCCTCCTCTCCTGGCTCCAGCCACCCTGGTAGTGCCCCACTCTGAGGCTTTTTGCATTCCCCAGCTAGAATCCCTTTCTCTCTCTATGCCAGCCAACTCCTATCCATTCTTCAAAACCCAGCTCCATCGCCCCTCCTCTATTCAAACTTCCCTGGCAAGCCAGGGTTTTGAGGGGCCCCTCTGTGCCCAGTGGCGACCTGAAAGTTCTCCTGGATTTGCTTCTAGCCCGTGAAGGACGAGATAGATTGCCAGACCTCTAAGGTGTTGCACAGGTAGGGACAGGATGCCGAGGGCTGGGGCTGCTGCTTAATCCCTCCCAAAAGACGGACAGTTACAACTGCAGGGGCTCAGTTCCTGGAGGTGGCAGCAGAGGGCGCCACAGGCCTGGGTTTGGGTCCTGCATCTTTTCCCACAAGGCGGAGGCAGGGGGCGGGGGACGGGCCTTGACACAGGGTCGGCGGGGTTAGCGAGACCCCAGGCCTCCTCTAGGGTCCGCGTCTCCCCTCCCTGAGGAGAAGGAAGCCCTGGAGGGGGCTTCGAGGTGGATTTGGAGGGCGGGAGGCCCCTACCAGACCCATACCCCTACGTTGGGCCCCTCCCTGCTGTCCTGGGAAGGGGGTCTTTTGTGGGGACACTACGGGACACCCAGAGCCCTGTCACTCACCCTTTTCTCCTCCTTATCCCATTTTCTACTTATTCGGGCCCAAATCCAGGCCCGGGGGTGGAATCAAGGAGAGAATAAACTCCAAAGATGCGGAGCATGGGGGGATGGAGGGGTTTGAGTGACAGCCCTCCGGGAGGAGGCTGGGAAGATCCTCAAGCAGCAGACCCCCGAACTGCACCCCGCAGAGATGAGGCAGGGATGGCCTGGGGCCCTGCTTGGTGGGAACTGGAAGACGCCCTGTGACTGGGGAAGGGGCCCTGCTCCACAGGGAATGGCTCCTCCGGCCATAAATAGACGGTGGCCGGACTCCATCAGGGAGGCCCAGGAAAGGGGTCTGCACGGGGGTGGCGCGCCCCGGAGGGGGCCTCGTGTGGGTTTCACCATCCCGGGTCCAGAAGCATCTCACGGGGTCCCGCCGCTGGTTCTGGGTTCCCTCGCTCTGGGGGCATCCGGGGTCCAGGGGTCCAGGTCCCACGAGCCGCCCCAGGGACTCCTTCGTCTGCACTCCTGGGCAACCCCCGAGCGGGGGCGGGTGGGGGCCTCCTGTATCCGCGGTCCAGAAGTCTGGGTCCCGTGCGCCCCGGCGACTCTGGCGTCGGACCCCCAGCCCCCGCGCCCCAGGAGCGTCCCGGGGCCTCCCTCATCCGGAGCCCGGGCATCCCCGCGAACCGGGGCTCCGAGGGGCGCGCGCGCCTCCCGCCGCAGCACGCTGAGCACGGGGGTCTCGGTGGCGGCCGCCAGGAAGTGCAGCTGCAGCAGCTCGGGCCGCGCCTCCGGGAAGGCCAGCACGGCCGCCACGCCCGGGGCCTCCAGCGCCTGGCACAGGCCGCGGGCCGGCGAGGCGGGGGCGCGGGCAGGGGGCGCGGCGGCCACCAGCTCCAGGCTCAGGTTGTGCGGCGGCCGCGGCGCCAGGGCGGCCCGGGCCGGGGCAGCGCGAACGCGGGCGGCGGGCGCGCGGGGCAGGAGGACGCCCAGGCGCACCGAGCCCCCCAGGCGCGCCAGGACGCCGCACGGCTGCGGGAGGCCCCCGGCCGGGCCCGGCCCCAGCGCCAGGCAGAGCCCCGGCGCCCGCACAAACTCCATCCCAAAGTTGCCGGCGGCGCGGCGGGGCGGAGCGGCGGGTGCCAGCGCGCAGGAGGCGGATCTCCGCCCGGCCCCGCAGCTCGCTGTCCCGCCCCGCGGCGCCTCCCTCCCTGCGCGCCCCGGAGACCTGCGGCGACCTCGCCCCTCCCGGCCCCCCCGATGTCAGCAACCCACTAGAGAGGAGTGGGACCCACTCCCCAGGGCAGGAAACTGAGGCTCACATGACCACACCGCGCGGGGGAGGGGGTGGGGTGTGGCACCCGACCACTGCTCTTCCCAGCTCCTTGCCAGGTGAGTTATCTCCCCATTCTACGGATGAGAAAACCGAGGCTTACCACCAGGAAGAGATTTCGTGTCAAATCGGTCCCCACACTCATCCCTGCTCCATTCCAGAACCCCCCATGCCCTCTCCAGCCTGAGAACATGGCCCATCGCTGTCAGGGAAACTGAGGCCCAGGAGGGGTCAGTTTGCCTCCGTGGTCACGCAGCAGTACCGCCCACCTCCAGGTCTACCTCGGCCAACCCATCTGAGCGCGCTCTAACGTCGTGTGCACCCTGGGGAAACAGGTAGATACGTCTGATGGGAACCCGTAGGGCGGGTCTCCTGCCTTCCCATTGCTGGCAGGTAACTTGGAGCAGAGAACTCCTCCTCACCCTTCAGGACCCAATGCCAAATGCCCCTGCTCTGAAAAACACTTCCTGCTTGTCCCCCAGAACTTCCTCGCCACCCTCCCCCTGCCTACATCATCACATGCTGTCAAATTTTTGTTGGTTTTTCTGCTTTCTTACTTAGTGGCCATCCTCCCCCACTCAACTGTGGGGGGGCAAGAGTGGGTCTGGCTTGTTAATGCTGTCTCCAATGCTTGCACACAGTAGGCACTCTATAACTGCTCGTTGCATGAGCGCAGACAAGGACACGGTCCACTGCTCCAGAAGCTTCTGCAGCTCCCTGCCATCTGCCATCCCCCAAGCCTTCTCTCGTGTTCTCTGCGCTGTCTCGCCCTGGACGACCAGGGTTCTTCCTGTGGCCCTGGTATGCAGCACGTCCTCACTGACCACTGGCTGAGCCAGGCCCAGCAGCGCCCTGCACGGACTTCCCTCCTCCCGTCCGCCCCTGAGGGGTGCAGCAGAGAAAACAAGGCGGTTCCGAGATGCCTCGGGGCCCAGGGCAGCTGCTCTGGCACAGGACGTTCCAGGGCTAATGAGTGAACGTCCACTCGGTGGATTTGTCACACACACACAACTGTCTCCTTCTGGAGGCAGCACCGGAGAGGCAGGGATAAAACTGCATCCGATGAATAAAAATGCCAACTGCCCGACAACAGCAGGGATCACAGTTGCGGTGAGTCAGGGGAGCCGCATGGCTGGGTTCTGGCTGCCGAGGCCACAGCGTCCAGCCACCGGCCAGGCATCCCAGGATGGGGAGGGTCCCCAATTGCCAGCCCCTCCCCACCTGAGGCCACCGTCCTGCCAGGGGCCCCTCGCACCAGGGAGCCCGGCCACGTGCCCTGGTCCTGGCTGAGTCCTCAGGGACCACCCGGTCTCATCCCACCCTGCGGTGACGTCCCTCTGACAGCAGGACTCCTCAGAATTGGGGACCCGTCTGGCTCGGGGACACTCAGGCGGCAGACATTGCTGCGTTGGTTCTGGGAGGCAGCTGAGCACCAGCCTCTTCTGCATCCCGTCCCCTCCACTGTCAGAGGCAGTGAAGAAGGACCTGGGTCATCTGTGTGGACAGGACTCCTCTGAGGACCTCCTGGGAGTGGGGTCCTGTGGGATGTGTCCTTCGGGGTCTGGCTCCTCTTGCTGAGCCCAGTGCCCCCGGGGTCCCTCCACGTCGTGGCAGGTGTCAGGGTCCCTTCCTTCCTGAGGCTGGAGCGTGTTCCCGCGTGGGGACGGACCACGCCGTGTGTATCCTTCATCCACGGACACTGGGTTTGCTTCCACCTTTTGGTGATTATAAATCCTGCTGCATGCACACGGAGGTGCAAATACCTTTTTGAACCCCGACTTCCATTTTTTTTTTTTTTAAGATTTTATTTATTTGACAGAGAGAGACAGTGAGAGAGGGAACACAAGCAGGGGGAGTGGGAGAGGGAGAAGCAGGCTTCCCGCGGAGCAGGGAGCCCGATGCGGGACTCGATCCCAGGACCCTGGGATCGTGACCTGAGCCACCCAGGCGTCCCAGGACTTTTTTTTTTTTTTTTTAAAGATTTTATTTATTTGACAGACAGAGACACAGTGAGAGAGGGAACACGAGCAGGGGGAGTGGGAGAGGGAGAAGCAGGCTCCCCGCTGAGCTGGGAGCCCGATGCAGGGCTCGATCCCAGGACCCCGGGATCATGACCTGAGCCGAAGGCAGACGCTTAACGACGGAGCCCCCAGGCGCCCCCCGACTTCCATTTCTTTTGGGTGAGTACCCAGAAGTGGAAGTGCTGGGGGACACGGCGATTCTGTTTGAGGACCCCCAGGCTGTCTGCGACACCGGCTGGCCTTCTCGTGTTACCCCTGCCCGAGGGGGCCAGGCTACGGTTTCTCCTTCACCCGCGGTCTGAGGGGCAGCGCGGTCAGCACACACAGGACGCCCACAAACACCGGGCACTGCCAGCATCTTCCCCTCTGGCCACGACCACCCACGATTTAGGGTCAGATCGGGCTTGCACGATCCGTAACCTCAGCCTAGACAAGAGCGCGCCCTTTGCTGCGAGCCCCGCATCGGGCAGGCAGCCGTCCTGCTGGACGCCAGCCGTGCATGGGCTCCCCAAGGCTCCTTGCAGACCTGGAGAGGGCATGTCCCTGCTTACCCACAGGGAAACCGAGTCTGGGGCCCAGGTGCGGCGTGTCCAAGGCCGCGTGGTGATGGAGGGGAAATCAGTGAGCACCCCCCGCCCCATGTCCTCCCACCACAGGCCTGCAGCAGGGCGTCCAACCTCCTCCCGCCGTGGCCGCAGAGGGAGCATGGGCGACCTTCCAGGTGGGCACGGAGACCATCTGCATGGCGATGTGCCAGGCCGTCCAAGTGTCCCCTGCTGCCCTCAGATCACAGCACCCCCACCCCCCAGGAGCCCCGCGGTCACCTCCGCCCCCATCCGCAGGGTGGGAGGGGACGACACAGCTGGAGAAAATCCGGGACCCACCAAGCGGGCAGCTGAGGGTCCAGGGCGGTGCTGGGGGGGCCTGTGACTGTGCGAATCCTCGGGGCATGAGGGCCAGTGGGGTACAGCACCTCCCAGACAGAGGTCGAAATCCCCAGCCCGTCTCATGGCCCCTTCCCAGCACCAGGCCCCCAGAACAAGCCACACGGCTCCTTCCGAAACGTTTAATGACGTAAGCCGTGCGGGCAGCTGAGGCCACACGGAGGCCCACAGGCACCGAGGGGCTTGGAGGGGCTCTCGCCAGGACCCGGGCACGTGAGCTGGGTAAAGACCCTGGGGAGTCTCAGCCAAACCTGAAGCTGTCCCCTTCCCTCCAGACCTTCTGGACACCAAGCGGCGAGGACAGCCTGGGCCCAGCCTGCAGATGGGAACGTGGAGACCCCAGCGCTCTGGCGCGCTCTGGGGTGGGGGACGGAGCGCCGTCAGGACCTGGCCAAGCCCCTTCCTGCTGTGACCCCTCCCCATCCTGGCCTTGAGGGCCGCTCCGTGGGGTGGGGGCTTATGGAGTGACGTCCCCAGTTAGCCAGCTGGGCCCCTCACCGGGCACGGATGGGGCGGCCCCCCTCATGCCCCACCTCAGCTGCAGTGCGGCTGGACCCCTGGCCAGGGCACAGAGCCCGAGGAAGGGGCCGTCCCTCCGCCCAAGAGCACAAACCCAGCATAGACTGCAGGTTCCAGCTGCAGCTCGCACAGCACCTGCTAAATCACATGGGTTTTCTGCACCATTGAGCCAGGCTGTTAGTCAGGGACAGCTTTCTGGAAGGTTCCAAGGACTGCTTAGGAGCCCACTGTCTGGGCCAGGCTCCAGGTGCTGGCAGGCTGCAGGCCATGTCCCCAGGGCAGGAGGGACACCTGGCCTCCCTCAGACCCTTTGTGCCAACAGGAAACATCACTGAGCTGCGTGGGCACGTGTCCCTCTTGGAGGACCCCGGCCCAGGACTGGCCACCACCCGAGCTGGCTGCCCCGACCCAGCTTGGGGGGATGCTTGGGAGGCCATCAGAGGACCGGGACCGGACCACACTGCTCTCTCCGAACCACCTCCCACCCCCTCCCACCGAGTATCACCCAGCCCTCACAGTTGAGCCAAGGCCCTGGGGCAGCCGACAAGCGGCTCAAGTCTGAGAACCATGGCTTCTGGGCACTAAGTTTTAAAAACTGGGCCCAGCGGGTTCTGCTGAGACAGGTCCTGCCACGAGTCCTGGCGGACGCGGGCGCTACAGCGGCCCCCCCCCCCCCCCCCGGCACACAGACAGGCCCAGAGAAAAGGGGCTTTTAGTTCTTTTGTTAAAAACGAAACAGCACCAAGAGGCCACAGGAAACACCAGTGGCCCAACGCCTGGAGAAACAAGTGCTTGTGGGGCTGAAAGCTCCCAGCAGGTCTCCGTGCAGGGGTGGGGGACGCAGGGGCCGCCAGGCCGCAGGCCGGGCTCACTTGGCAGGCCGGGTGATGATGCGCGTGGAGAAGTCGAACAGGTCGCGGTTGACCTTGCGCAGATTCCGCACCTCGTCCTCCAGCTCGGCCACGCGGATCCGCAGCTGGTCCTGGCCGCCCAGGACGCTCTGCGGAGGGACAGGGGCTCAGAGGCGAGGGAGCGGGGCCCTGTCCCCGCGTCGCACCCCACAGTCCCCGCCCCCTCCCCCAGGGCAGGGCCGCAGCCCACCTTCTCCATTGTGCTGCTCATCACCCCGAGCAACTGCTCTGCCCTCTCCAGGTGGCTGGGCTCCGAACCCTGCAACACGGAAGAGTCTGTGTCAGTGGCCCGGGACCCCGGGCGGCGCCCCCGTGAGGGAGACGCCAGACACCCGCTGACTGAAGGGGGACTGGGGTGTGGCGCCCCCACCCTTGGGGGAGGGGGGCTGATGTCTCTGTCGAGGCCGCGGGCTCCGACCCCCATGCTCCCATCCGCTCCCTGCGCCAGGACTCTGCCCGACCAGGCCTGCGGGCAGCTTGCCGGCCCGGCCCAGCGACATGGCAGCAGGGAGGCGGTCTGTCTCCGGCCGGACAGCGTCTGGCACGCCACCCTCGGCCGGCAGACGGGTGCTCAGCAGAGCCAGACGTCAAGCTATCTGCAGGAGGACTGTGGGCACCCCCCACCCCCGACTTCGAGAGGCTCGGCACAGAGACCGCGAAGACAGAGCACAGCCTGAAGACAGGCAGGGGCCCCTGGGCCTGGGGGGCGGACGGGTCGTCCCCAGAGGCCCCCCAGGCTGGGGCCAGGGGTATGAGTGCCCTGCTACTCCGCCCACGGTGGCCAGACACCTGGCGTCTTCAGGTCCAGCTCTGCTCCCGAACGTGCCCTGGCACACAGCGCACGTCCACTCCGAACTTCCCGCCTTCCTCCCGGCGGAGGGCCCCCGTGTGCGCGTCAGCCGCTGCCACGGCCCCCGTAGGACGTCAAGAGCCGCCCGGAGCAGGCGCTGGGCCCGCAGAGTCTCGCTGAGGCCCAGGGCAGGCATCCCGTGGGGGGGGCAGCGCCTACCTGCTGGTGGAGACCCAGGCGCAGCGTGAAGCCCCCGCGGTGCGGCTCATCCCCGTGCTCGGCGCCCAGAAGGTGCTTGTTGAAATGGGGCAGGGGCAGGCCGGGCCTGAAGTCTGAGCTCAGCATGCTGACGGGTGCCAGCATGATGGAGGCATTGGTCACGGGGCCTGCGTGGCGGGGGGGTGGGGGGGTCACGGTCACGACCCACCTCCCCCGCCAGGCCCCCCAGCGGTCCGAGAGCGGCGGTGCCCCCCCCCCCCCCCCCCCCCGGCGCCAGGCCCTGCGGTGGCGCGCGGGTCCAGACCACGCTGCCGTGCCCACCCGGGGAGAGCCACGGCCTCCAAGAGGGGAGGAGGAGCCGGCCGCCCCGGGGCCCATTGCCAGGGCGCCTCACCTTTGAGGGTGACCGTCCTGACGCACTGCTTACTCTGGACGTCCCAGAGACGCACGGTCTCGTCGTGGGAGCCCGAGAGCAGCACGCTGCCGTCGGAAGACACGGACAGGCAGGTCACCTGGTTCCTGCGGGCGGACAAGGTGACCCCGAGCCCACCGCGAGAACAGGGCCCCTCCCGCGCCCACCCCAGCGTCCACGGACCCCGGCCCGCACCTGTGGCCTCTGAACACCTTGCCGCTGTCCCGCTCTGGCTGGAAGCTCTTCTCTCTCTGCCCAGGCTGTGGAGGCCAAGGGGGCCCGTCAGCCACGTCGGCCACGTCCACCCCGGGGCCCACGGACCCCTGGCTGCCGCTGCCACTCACCCAGGTGCAGAGGTCCACCTGGAAGATGGCGCCGTCGCTGCCTCCACAGAAGAGGTGGTGCTCGGCCAGGTCCATGGTCACGGCCATGATGCCCACATCAAAGAGCACGGACAGGAGCAGCTCGCCCGATGAGACCTCCCACAGCTGGGGGTGCGGGTGGGTGTGGGACAGACCCGAGACTCTGGACCCCCGGGGAACCGGGACCACAGCCACCACCCACGGGGCCCCGGGGGCTGAGACTCAGCCTGCCCCTCATGCCCGTGACCCCCGTGTTAGCGGCTGCCGGCCCCCGCCCGTGGCGACGCCCCGAGGGCCGGGGTGCCCTCGAATCCCCTGAGGTTTGGCCAGGGAGCTGCCAGGTACAGGCAGCCAAGTGGGAATTTCCAAGCCGACACGCGCCTGGACCATCCACCCTCTGGCCGTCCTTGAGGCCGGAAGCACCAGCGGGATTCAGAGCTGTCTGGAGCTGCCAGGGAAGGAGGCCATTCACGGGCTCAGGCCGGCCAAGAACCCGTAGCCGCCAGGGCATGACTCACAGATCCACTTGGGGTGAGGGGGCCCTACCTTCACTGTCTGGTCCAGGGAGGAGGTGGCCACCCGGGCCAGGGGCCCCCCAAAGCCACAGTGCAGGTCTGTGATGGGGAGGGTGTGGCGAGACCAGACGTGCCGGGGGGATGGGGTCCTGGTGGGGTCCACCTGCAGCACGCTGTGTGGAGGGCACGGACCTCAGCGGGGGGAGCCCACGTCCCCTTGCGGCCACGTGGCCACCAGGCCCCCCCAGCTCTCCGACGGCTCCCCCCACCCTCCCGCCCTGCGGCCAGACCCAGAGCCCGAGGGGCCCATCCTCCACCTGCACAGGCCCCACACCAGCACCAGGCAGTCCTTGCCCCCCGACAGGAAGTGGCTGCTGTCCCCCGTGAACTGCAGGCACGACACGTCCTGGTAGTGGCGGCTCAGGATGACCAGGAGGCTTCCCGTGGAGACCTGCGGAGGGCGAAGCCAGGTCAGCGCGGGAGACCCGGCGCCGTGCCCGCCCCCCACTGCCAGGTCAGCTGGAGGCACTGGGCGACAGCCTGCAGGCGGTCTGGAAGGGACCCCCAGGCTTGGTGGGCCGGGCCTCCTCCCAGCTGTCCTGCCTGTGCCTGTCCCCATTATGTCCCCAAGTGGATGACGGCCCTATTTGAGCTTCCACCCCCTTGTCCCGTCACCCTGACCTCTGAGGCCTGGGCGTCAGGTGGCCCGAGGACCCCTGTCCAGTACAGGGCGAGGAGTGATGTCACCACGGCCGCCGGGGAGGGCAGTGGCTGTCTGCGTGGACCAGAGTGACCACAGGAGGCTGTTGAAAGTGTGGGCCCCTCCGTTCAGGACCAGCTGGACCTGGGACCCAGGAGCAGGAAGTCACTGTCTTCAGAGGCCACCGGGTGGGGATGGGCCAGTGGGTGGGGCTGAGGGAAGGGGGAGGCCCCAGGTGGCAGGGACAGGCGAGCCCATCACACCACCTGGGCAGTGGGGTGGGCTGGGGGGCCCAGATTCCGTTGTGAGTTCAGCTGCGTTCCCCTAGCACACATGTTCACACCCTAACTCCTGGACTCAGGCCTTACTCGCATAAAGGGTCTTTGCAGGTCTAACCAGTTCAGACTGAGGTCACGCTGGAGTACGGTGACCCTAAACCTAACGAGTGGCGTTCTTATAAGAGGAAAACCTAGAGGGACATGCATGCTTTCCCCCTGAGGATTTCCAGCTTCCCTCCTTGTCCTCATCCACACAGAGGGAGGGGGGGAAAGGGGCACCGTGGCTGATACCTGAGTCAGGCCCTCAGCCTGAGCTGCCGCCTCGGGTTGGCTGTGGGGGGCGCCCCTGTGGTCACGGCTCACGCCAGCCAGGAAAGCTCCAAGGAGGAACCAGGCTCAGACAACAGCCCTCAAGCGAAGACCTGAGATGCCCCTCATCGGCAGAGGAGACGCTGCTTTCTGCCCTCCGCACCACGGCAAGGATTTCTACCGTGATGGGCAACCTTTGAGGAACCCCCTGCCTCAGTTTCCCTCCCTGCACCACAGCAACTGCTTCCTAGTTTTAGAATCACGCACTGGGGTTTAACAGTCCCCAGAATGAAATAACTAGGCTCCCTCACATCTCTGTGGTGCTCTGAGACGTCTGGGGGAAGGACAAAGGTCGATTCACAGGTGTGGACAGACTCAAGAAAGGAAGAGCGTGGTCGTGTCTCCATCTTCTGGCCCCAAACCCTACATGGTCTGTGCAGGTGGTGAGGTGGGTCTCTCCCGCCCACACATAACCAAATGTTGGTGACAACACACCCTAATTTTCTAAAAAAAGATTTTATTTTTTTGACAGAGAGGGGAGGGGGAGAGCGTGCAAGAGCAGGGGGGAGGACCAAGGGGCGAGGGAGAAACAGACTCCCCGCTGAGCAAGGAGCCCGATGTGGGGCTTGATCCCAGGACCCTGAGATCATGACCTGAGCCGAAGGCAGACGCTCAGCCCACTTTGAGCCACCGAGGTGCCCATAACACGACCTAATTAACCTGCAGACCAAATCCCACTACCTTGGTTTTATACCTCCTCTTACCTCCCACAGGTATATGCTCTCTGCAATCCCTGCCAGGACATAGAGGCCATTGGGTGATGTGGTCAGACAGGTGACAGGCCCAGGGCACATGATCTTCTGCTGGAGCTGGTCCTAGAGAGACATAAGAAGCCTCTGAGCTTCATGTGGAACTCAGGAGCTAGGGGACAGCGGGGAGGAAATTCCGAGGCAGCCAGAAAGAGGAGCAGGAACAAGGGCGGTTTGAACAAATCAAAGCTCAATCAAGAAGGGATCTGCTCCAGCAGATGGAAGGGGAGGCCTGCAGACTGTCGGATAAAAGCACAATGGTGCTTACTCTGGGGACTGGGGGTGGTCAAGGCACAGAGGGTCCAGGAAGGAGCTGAGAGAGAGCCTAATGGCCACAATCCTGCCTTCCCTAAGGTCTGGCCTGTGATCCTGACCCTCACTTTCCTCATCTGACGGAAAAACTTCACGACTGTGTGCAGGTCACACCAGGCAAAGTCAGAGGACAGAGCTTGTGCCAAGACTTCAGCTGGCAGAACTGGGCAGCTAGCTGCAAGCTTCACAGGCTGCATTTTGGATGGGTTGTTTTTTGTTTTTAAGATTTTATTTATTTGACAGAGAGAGAGACAGCGCGCACACAAGGAGGGGGAGAAGCAGAGGGAGAGAGGGAGAAGCAGGCTTCCCAGCTGAGCAGGGAACCTGATGAGGGGCTCAATCCCAGGACCCTGGGATCATGACCTCAGCCTAACCGCTGAGCCATCCAGGTACCCCTGCATTTTGGGTGTTTTAGGAAGAGACCCATGGGCCCTTATGGGGAAGGGCAGTACTCCCTTTGGGGGAAATAAATGCACCACCCTCCCGGGCCTCGCACATTCACCTTCCAAGACCAAGAGACGCACGGAACTCCAAACGAGAGTCCTCCCTTTAATTAGATTTCGCGCCCCAAGGGCTCCCCCCAGTTCCCCAGCCCATCAAGAACGGCTGCCCCAAAGACCCGCACCCCACTCTCCCCGAGGAGCCCACCCCCAGCCCTGCGCGCGCGCAGCGCCCGAAATGACCCCACCCGCCGGGCGCGCACCTCCCTCCTCCAAAACGCCCCCAGACCCGCGCAGGCGCAGCACACCCTAACCGAGACTCCCCATCCCCACCCGGGCCAGGGAGCGCGCTGCCCCCACCGACCCTTCCCCGGACCCCGCTTTCGGGCGCCCCGCGCACTCGCCACGAAGCCCGGGCCGGCGCGCGCGCCGCCGCACCTTCCGCTGCAGCTCCCAGGCGCTGATGTAGTTCTTGCCCAGCTGCGCCGCCAGCAGGTACTCGCCATTGAGCAGCGCCAGGCCGCGCGGTCCGGCCTGGCCGCCGCGGTACGTGAGCAGATTGGCGCCCGAATGCAGCTCCCACACCACGCAGCTCCACAGCGGGGCCGCCGAGTCCGTACACACGGCCACTTCCATGGGAGCCGCCATCTTGCCGCCTGCAGCGCCCCGGAAGTGCGTCACGCCGGCGAGACGCGGGCCCCTGCGCCGCCCACGTTGCACCGCCCACGTTGCGCCGCTCACCACGTGCTCCGAGCGGGGCCCTCCCTGCGGCGCGGGCGTCCTCCCTCGCTCGGCGGCGAGTCGCGGGGCGCACGGCTGGCTGGGACTTGGGGGGCGCGCCCCCAGGTAGCTGTGGAGGGCGTGGCTCGGGGTCGCCTGCAGCCCCCCGCTGGGCCTTTTCACCGCGTGACCTACCCCCGCGGATCCCTGTGTTTTTAGCGTGCAAATAATAAAGGGCCGACGCACGGGCCCGGGAATGCCTTGCACGTAAACACGTCCTACGTGCCGGACAGAGCTGCCGCATGCTCGCGGAGCCCCCGTCCGCCGCCCCCGGGCCCCGCGCGGGGCCCTCGGGTCACAGCCGCCAGCCCCGGGCCGTGTCTCAAAGCCGCGCCTCCGACGAGCGCGGACAAGTCGGAATCCACTCGGGGGGAGGGCGCGCGGCCGGCGTTGCGGGGTGCGGGGGGCTTCCACCGTGCCCGAGGCCCCGGCCCCCGAGCCGCGGGCGGCTCGCGGGAGCGGGTGAGCCGACCCAGGGCAGGACGGAGCTCCGGGGTCTCCCGGCCCCGCGCCGCGGTCCAGGAGAGGCCGGGCGCTCGCCGGGGGCGCGGGGAAGCCGCAGCCGCAGCCCCGGCCGCCGGGTGGCAGGCGCGAGCCTCCGACCGGGAGGCCGGACCCGGAAGGGGCTTCTGCCGCGGAGGCTGCGCCCAGGCCCAGGCGTGGGGTGTCACGGGGGCCTGCCTCGTTTGGGGGTCTGGAGGAGGGGCTTCCCAGAGCAGGTGTCGCTTGAGCAGGGAACTAACGGCTTGGAGGGCAAGGTGGGCAGAGGAATGTGCAAAGGCCCTGAGGCCGACCCTGGAGGCTGGAGCTGGGCAATGCGGGGCCTGTCATGCAGTGGGGAGCCTGGATTTTATTTCATCCTGGGGTGCGTGAGGAGGCATAAGAGACTTAAGGACTCTTGTAAGTTGCGGAGAGCCGAGTGTGCGAGCCCCCAGCAGCTGCCAGATGGGGGTACTCGGGCGGGGCTTCCTGGTTCAAAGACAGTTTGCAGGTAGAAACAAGGGGTCCTGATTTCCACCCCCAGAACCAGCTAACGCCCCCGCTTCCTCAAATGTTGTTTTTAAAGTGTGAATAAGGAAAACAAAACACCGGGGACGCTCACTTACGCTTTCCAAACATGGGTTTCCCAAAATCACGCCTTTCTTTGAGTCCTGAACCCCTGGCACTCTGTGGAATCCTGTTTGAGAATGACCACGCCGTGTGTCTCCTAGGAGTGGGCCCAGGTGGCCAGGCGGCCTTTCTTCTAAAGACCAACTCAGGACTTGAATCTGCACTTCTGAGCCGTGGAGCAAATCACGGTGAAGCTCTGGGCCTCAGTTTCCCCACACGCACCACAGGGACACTGTGGTTTCCCACAGTCGTGGAATTTGGGTCCTGGGTCTGTCCTTCTGGGAGGCCTGAGGTTTCCGAGTTCCTGGATGCCAGGACACGGGGGCAGGCCCAGCAGATGTGGGTCACAGGGTTATAAGCTTGGTGCCCAGAGTGCGCTGTGGTGGGCGCTCCCGTAGGGGCAGGCGCTGGCACGGAAAGCGCGGCTGGATTGCAGTGCTGGCCTTTCACGGGCCTCCTTCCCCTGCGCTCCTCCCAGGAGGTCAGAGGTCACCCCACCCCCAGCCCAGCAAGCGTGGAATGAGGACAGACCAGTTGTGTCAGAAGAGAGCAGGACAACAGCCACACTTTGGGGGGCGTGTAGGACCACCCAGTCGCCAGACCTCCTTGGTGCCAGCTGGGTGGGTGCCTGGTCCCAAATCCAAGGCTGGGAGGGTGTGGCTGTAGCAGCAGAAGCAGGATGGGGGAAACCGAGGCACAGATGCATTCCCTCCCCCCTGCCCAGTCTAAGCCCTGAATTCTTCGTTTGTTCTTCTTCCATTATTGAGCACCTTTCTGTGGGCAGTGGGGACACAGTGAAGAACCAGGGCAGACCCCACTGTTCTGGCGTCCCAGCCCAGGGGCACCTTCCTTCCTCGGGGGCAGCCCCCGTCATGTGCACCAACGATAGGAGGGAAGGAGGATGACTCAGGTGAAAACCCTCTCCTTGTTCCGGCCCCAGCTCCAAACCCTGGCTCCTTGCAGGCTCCCTCAGCTCTGCTAATCAGGTTTTGAATGTTTCCTCCCGGAGCCTCCTCGGGCCTCGGCAGAAGCTCCGAAGCCCAAGAGGCAGGAGCTGACGGGCGCTGGGAAGCCGGGAGGGCCATGGGGGGGCCTGAGCCCTCCCTGGCGCCCCTGGGACTGTGTGACCTCAGGGCCTCCTGGCCCCTCTCTGGGCCTCTTCAGCGGAGGAATGAAGATGAGGACTGGCTGAGCCAGTTTGCAAGAAAGGGTCATTTTCCTTTTTTAAATAATTTTTCCTTTATCTTCTGGGGCGGGAGGAGAGAGCCCTGAGAGGCAGGTGGAGCCACCGGCCCTCTGACCTCTCCTGGTCCCCCAGGCCCCTGGACGCTGGGACCAAGACGCAGCTGACTCATTTCTGACAGGAGTGGAAATGCCGTGGATGAAATGGGCCACGGAGGCGCGTGGGAACCCCCTGGCTGTGACAGGAGGGGCAGCTGATTCTCCCTCACTCCTAGTGCAGCCTTGGGAGCTGACCCAGGCGGGAGGGACTGGCCGGGGCCGGCCCGGGCTGGTCCTGGTGGTAGGGGAGCCAGATGGCAGGAGGCTGGGCCTGCCCACGGTCCAGCCAAGCTGACCTTGAGCCCGTCACACACTCTGTGGCGGGGGGTGGGGGGGTGGGGTGGGGGGGTCCGAGGGTAAATGGATTAGACACCCCAGAAAATCTCTTCCAGCCCCAATTCTGCAGTGCTGCTGTGGTTTGAGTTTGGAGGCAGAGAACACAGGATTTCCCTTCCAAACATTCTGAGCCCAGGGGTTGCAAACTGCAGCCCGAGAGCCATTTTCCTTCTTAAAATTATTTTTCCTTTATCTCCTGGATAAAAAGCGGGGGGAACCGCTTTGGGGCTATACCTACTGAATCGTAAAATGTGAACAGGTGAGCCAGACCCCAGCGGGAAGGCTGCTGGGCACGCAGGCTGGGTCCCTGTCTCAGAAGCCTGCAGAGGGCCCGGGGGGACGGTGGGGTGGGGGGGCTTTCTTCGGGTGCCGCTCTCCTGCCATGTCGGGTCATGGAGCGCGCCGAGCTAGGGGGTGACCCCAGGGGCACAGGAACGGACGAAGCACACACATGACTCCGTGTCCCGGAGGGTGACAAGGGGCTTGCCTGGCACACAGGGAAAGGACGACCCAGGCAGTGGGAAAGAGCTCTTGCAAAGGCCCAGAGGAAGGCCCAGCGAGGAGGGGGCAGACCACACACCCCAGGGGCTTGGGTTCGGAGTGACATCAGAAGGCAGGAGACCTAGCCAAGGGGCTGGGGGACAGGCTGGGGCACCCCTGGCCCTTCCACCTCTGTTCTCCCCAAATCCCTAGACAGACACTTTGTACCAGGGCCCCCCGGGAGTGTGATGGCCACACACACACCCACTTGAAGACCCAGGGCCTGTCCCTTGGGTGCCGTCCCTGCTGCAGGATGGAGGGGTTACGGCCCCTGGGACCCAGACACACCCCAAAAAACCACCACAGGAGGCGTTTTCTGTTAAAAGTCAGAAGTGTTTTGTCTTGTTTTAATATCTCATCAGCTTTACAGGGTTACAATTGTCTTAAATATTTCTGAAGTTTAAATACAATCTGAATAATAATGTTATAAAATGTAAACTTTCAGTGTTCTTTTAAATTTCAAAATCACACACTTTTTTTTCTTTTTTTTCTTTTTTTCTTTTTTTTTTGGTCTTTTGTCCTTTTTTTCTTTTTTTTTTCCCCTTTTAATACCTGAATGTTCTGCAAAAACTGAAATCGGTACAGACCGCCCTGGCCAGGGCGACAAGGCCAGGCCCGGCCAGAGGTAGAGTCGTTTAAACCTGTTTTTTAAAGAGTTTTTTTTCACTTTAACCTGAGTGCTGGCGCGGTGCTCACGCCGTCTGACAAACCCCAGAGAAGCTGAAATTTCACATGTCAGGAATGAAAGGCTGAATTCATGGTTGCCAAGAAAAAAATGCAAGAGCAAAATTAAGGGAGGGGGGGAAGGACGAAGCGGACAAAAGTGATAAAATGGGAAAGTGAGTGTACAAATGCAGAACTATGGAAAGTAACCCGCCGTCCCACCCTGCATGCCCAGCCCCCAGCTCAGGGGTCCCACGGAAGATTCTGGAAGCAACACCTCCAGCAGGGGAGCCCCCGCGAGCCCCTCTCCACCCTGAGTTTGGGGTCTCCGCCCTCGCAGTGCCGCGAAGCCCACTCGGGAACGACCAGCACAGAAGCCAAGGGCAGAGACAGGTGCCCCCGTCCATCCGCACCTGGGTTTGCGTAAGGGGGTGCTGATGTGCACCCCAGAGACCCTCCCCTTCCCTAAGCCCCAGGGACAGGAGGGGCAGGGGGCTGGATGGGGCACCGAAGGCAGAGGCAGGGGAGGACCCCGCTCGCGTTCCCAGCTCAGGTGGGTTCCCCCCAGCACAGCCGCCCCCTGGCTAGCCTGGAGCGGGGGACTGGGCCCCATGCCCCGCCCCCACCTGTCCCCTACAATCATCACTTGAACAGCAGGCCACACCCTGAGTTACATCCGGGAGGCCACATTGACCCGCGACACAACACCAGTCCGCGCACGCACGAACAAGGCGGGCGTTCGGGCCTTCCAGGTGGAGGGGCCCCACGGGGAGGGTGGGGCGAGGGGAGAGCCAGGGCGCGGGATTTGGCATCAAGAGTCAGGCCTGAGGTAGAAAGAAACACGCTGCAGACCCCCCCCAACGAGGGCGTGACCGGGGAACCTGAAGGCCTCGGGCCAGGGCGCCCACGGGTCAGGCTGGGTGGGGGGGGGGCTTCTGTGTGTGGAGCCGGATTGTGCCCGGGGACAAAGAGATCCCCTCCCACCATGATCG